TTCAGATCCTTTTAGCTTTTCTTCAGATCCTTTTAGCTTTTCTTCAGCTCCTTTTAGCTTTTCTTCAGCTCCTTTTAGCTTTTCTTCAGCTCCTTTTAGCTTTTCTTCAGCTCCTTTTAGCTTTTCTTCAGCTCCTTTCAGCTTTTCTTCGGCTCCTTTTAGCTTTTCTTCGGCTCCTTTTAGCTTTTCTTCGGCTCCTTTTAGCTTTTCTTCGGCTCCTTTTAGCTTTTCTTCAGCTCCTTTCAGCTTTTCTTCAGCTCCTTTCAGCTTTTCTTCGGCTCCTTTTAGCTTTTCTTCAGCTCCTTTCAGCTTTTCTTCGGCTCCTTTCAGCTTTTCTTCGGCTCCTTTCAGCTTTTCTTCGGCTCCGTGCAGCTTTTCTTCGGCTCCGTGCAGCTTTTCTTTGGCTCCGTGCAGATTTTCTTCGGCTCCTTTCAGCTTTTCTTCAGCTCCTTTCAGCTTTTCTTCTGCTCCTTTCAGCTTTTCTTCTGCTCCTTTCAGCTTCTTATTTCCATTTTCAGCAATATTTGTTCCCTTTTCAGCTTGTTTCTGCAAAAATTAAACTCTTTCTGCATTTTGGCTACTTTTTAGACATTGTCTGCTCATTTAGTCCCTTTTCACGCACATTTTTTTTTATTATTATTATTTTGAAAATTACAGTCTTTTATGGTTCTTTCAAACTATTTCAACTTCTTGCGCTTTTTTCAGCTTTGTTTATTTTTTAATCCTTTTCAGCCACTTCTTTTTTTGCAGCTTTAGTAAAACCTACTCATCCTCTCTCTGCGTATTTCAGCTCATTCAGCTACATTTCTGCTGCTTCCTACTTCTACTTTCCTGCTTTCAGCAAACGGCAGCTGTTGAAATTCAGCTCCGTTTAGCCACGAACCCTTTCCAGCAGCTTGTTCAGCAGCTTTCAGCAGATTGTTTCTTCTCGAGGTTTTAATGAGCTGCTTCCCAAAAGGCCCTTCTATAATAAAGAGCGCGCAGGGCTCGGCAGGTACTCACTCTGTCCTTCGAATTTCCGGATAATCACCCCTAAAAACGTGTTTTGCGGCGCCACGTGACCTCTCCGGACAGGCATGGTGCTCCCCCCGGAACAAAAATCTGTTGGAAAAAATGTCTTCGCTCCTGAACCGTCAGTCAGCGGGGGCTCCCCGGTCTCTTTGTCAGCATCCAGGCATCCTCGTAAGAAAATCTCCTCCGCTGCCTTTTGTTTTGCTTTTCCTCCCTCTCTCCCTCGCTCTCTCTCGCTCTTCCTCCCCTCCGCCGGGCGAGTCCCTCACTTCAGCTCCCGGGCGGAGCGCATCTCTCCCCGGCGCTCCTCTCCCGACGCGACGCTGAGCAGAAAGGCAGAGCCGGCGGAGCGGAGCCGCAGCATGTCACCGCGCGCTCCTCCGAGAAGACGGAGCGGGTCCGGGGCTGCTGCTGCTGGGCTGGGGGGGTGGAGGTGGAGGTGGAGGGAGGCGCTGTAGTGGAGTAAAAAAAAAAAAAAAAGACGGACGGTCTCCGAGCCAATAAATGCACGAGAGAAAAGAAAAACCCACAACAAAAAAACAGGCGCAGCTAGCATGAAGCGCTCCCGTGAAGTTAGCTCATGCTAACGCGTTACCATGGCAACAGCTGGGCGAGCTAGCTTAACTTCACCAACATGAACCGAACGAAGTAGCTGAAACGTGCGCTGCTCTCTGTAAAGGCAAATATAATCGGAGAAAAAAAAAAAAAAAAGCTGTAATTACGTTTTGGAGTCGTAATGAAAAGAAGTTGGGGACGCGCCTGTCGGGAGCGGTGACGTCACCGCCTGCTAACGCAGGTGCGCCTCATTAAGAGGCTGTTTTAAATGTCAGCTCGGGTTTCCACCGCAGCCTGCTGCCTGTGGCACGCAGGGTTTCCGCTGCTCTGCGCCTCCACTCAGAGCAGGAGGAGCAGGAGGAGGAGCAGGAGGAGGCGCTGGCCTTGGTGCTGCTCGGAAGGTGCACTTTCCCCTGCATGGCTGCCCTGGGGGGGCTACTGCCCTGCATGCTTTATGTCAAACTCAAGAGCCTTGGGCCAAACTGGTCCCGGAGATAATTCAAATGTTATTTATTTTATTATTTAAATAAACCGATAAATACATGATCGTGTGAACGTTTATGAAGCATTCACACTATTGTGATCCTGTTTTCTTCCAGACGTTTTCCGGCATTTCGTTCCAGAATTTTTGCGCTAGTGCAACAAACCATAAAATCAAAACGTTCGGCTCTTTCAGGAGAAAGGTGCTGTGACTTTTGGTATTGGTGCAACTTTAGCTTTCTGAAATATTTAGCCTTCTCTGACCTTTTTTTTTCCCCTCATAGAAAATGAATTTAGGTCATTTTTAAATCCTTCAGATCTGTTTACAACCTTTTACTGCTCCTTTCACATTTTGTTCTGCTTCAGCTTCTTTCAGCTTCCTTGTGCAAACGTAAACTTTCTTTTAGCTAATTTAAGCTGTTTTTCAGCTGTTTTGTGCTCCTTTCAAATTATGTCTGCCAACTGCAACATTTTTGTGCTGCTTCTAACTTCTTTCTGCTAATGTCAGCTTGTTATGCTACTTCAGCTACTATTTAACGCTTATGCTAATTTTAGCTTTTCCACCAAATTCCACAATTTTTGCACTCATTTCAATTTTTTTCAGCCTTATTCAGCAAAAAAAAGTGCTCTCTCTACTTCCTTCTGGTAATTTAAGCTTTGCCTTTTTTTAGCTACTCTTCAGCTGTTTTTGCTTATTTAAGTTATTTTCAGATAATTTCCACTTTTTTTTTTCTAATTTCTGCTTTGTTCATCTTAAATAACTTTAGACTAATTTCAGCTTGTTATGCTCCTTTCAGCTTATTTCTGCATTTCAACTTTTTCTGCTACTTCAGCTACTGTTTAGCTGTTTTTATGCTAATTTTAGCTTTTCCACCAAATTCCACAATTCTTCCACTCATTTCAACTTTTTTCAGACTAATTCAGCAACAAACAAAAAAAAAGTGCTCTCTCCACTTCCTTCTGGTAATTTCAGCTTTCTGCCTTTTTTCAGCTGTTTTTTCTAATTTAAGCAATTTTCAGATAATTTCTAGTTTTTGTTCTAATTTCTACTTCTTTCATTCTAATTAACTTCTTTAGGCTAATTTCAACTTGTGCTCCTTTCTGCTCTTTCAGCTACTGTTTACTTCTACATTTTTTAAGCTCATTTCAGCTTTTTTCACTTCCTTCTAGTAGTTTAAGCTTCTTTCTGCCTTTTCAGCTTATTTTTTTGTTTGGCTAATTTCAGCTTTTTTAGCCAAATTTCTACATTTTTGTGCTCACTTATGTTCATTTAAACCTAATTCAGCGAATGTGCCCTTTCTGCTTCTTCTGCTAAATTAAGACTTGTTCTTCCATTTCAGCTATTTTTCAGCATGTTTTTTTTTTTTTACTTATTTCAGCTGTTTTTCAGCAAATTCTTGTATAAGCACTCGCACTGCATTTTTGCAGGAAATGCAAGTTCTCTAGTTTTCCTTGTTGATTTTTTTCCTTCATTTCGTTATGAAACAAAGTAACCAAAGTAGCCACCAAGGCGGCCGTGGCTGAGTGGTTAGAGCAGTCATCCTTTAATGGGAGAGTTGGGGGTTCGATTCCACCAGCAGTCACATGTTGAAGTGTCTCTGGGCAAGACACTGAACCCCTCATTGCCTTTGATGTGCGTCCCATCGGTGTATGAATGTGATAAAGCTCTGATTATTCTCTAGTAGTGGAGGTAAATGAGTGCACAGATGATAGTGTAAAGCACTTTGAGGATCTTGATTAGATAGAAAGGTGCTATACAAGTACAGTCCATTCACCATCTACGTATCCCCCGTCCATCCATTCATCTGTGCATGCTAGAATCTCAGTTTTTGTATGCGGCTGCATCTAGGTGCAAGAATGATTCCCATTGAAAACTGGGTTGCCATGTCACAATCCAAGATGGCTACCTTCATATACAGTGCAACTGGAAAGTATTCACAGCACTTCAGTTTTTCCACATCTCGTTTAGTTACTGCCTTATTCCAAAACGGAATAAATTCATTCTTTTCCTCTAAATTCTTCACGCAAAACACCATAATGACAACAGGCAAAAATGTTATTTTGAAATGTTTGCAAGTTTATTAAAATAAAGGGACTATGAAATCGCATGTATATAAGTATTCACAGCCTTTGCCATGAAGCTCAGAATTGAGCGCGGATTCAGTTTTCGATTCAGTTTATTTATACGGCGCCAAGTCGCAACAGAAGTCGTCTCAGGGCACTGAACAGAAACATTCATATATAAAAAATAATAATTTAACATTTATATGAGGAGCAGACGGATTTAAATTCAACTCCATCACAGAACTCTCATCTTGAGCAAGCATGAAGGCGACAGTGGAAAGAAAAAACTCAGAGGAAGAAACCTTTAGCAGAACCAGGCTCAGGACAAGCAACCGTCTGCTTCGACCAGCTGGGTTTGGTAGGACAGAAAGGAAGAACAGATACACAATGGCAGGTCAAGAATCACATGTTAATATAAAAATAGTATCAAATGAAAACTATTCAATTTTAACAAATCATTTAAGGAAATGAGGTCAGTTTGTCCTCCAGTAGTCTAAGCCTATAGCAGCATAACAAGCCAACCCTAACTATAGGATTTATCAAAAAGAAAAATCTTAAGCCCAGTCTTAAAACTGGACAATGTGTCAGCCTCACGGACAGAAACTGGAAGTTGGTTCCACAAGAGAGGAGCCTGATCACTGAAAGATCTTTCTCCCATTCTGCTTTTGGAAACTATAGGAACCACGAGTAAGCCTGCAGTTTGAGAGTGAAGTGCTTTGTTAGGAAAATATGGCACAATAAGATCTCAAGTATAAGATGGAGCTAGGTTGTTGAGGGCTTTGTAGGTTAGAAGTAAGATTTTGAAGTCAACTCTGGATTTGACAGGGAGCCAATGGAGAGAAGCTAAAACTGGAGAGATATGATCTCTCCCACTAACTCCAGTTAAGACTCTGGCAGCAGCATTTTGGATTAAATGAAGACTTCTTGAATCATTTGGACACCCAGATAATGAACCATCGCAATAGTCCAGTCTAGACGTGACAAATTCCACTGATACTCCTTCAGCTGTTTCTACAACATAAATGGAGTCCACCTGTGGTAAATTCAGTTGATTGGACTTGATTTGAAAAGAGACACACCTATAAGGTCCCACAGTTGAAACTGGACGTCAGAAAACAAACACCAAGCATGAAGTCAAAGGAATCGTCTGTAGACCTCGAAGACAGGATTGTGTTGAGGCACAAATCTGGGGCAGGATACAGAAAAAAAAAAAATCTGCTGCTTTGAAGCCTCCATCATCCATAAATGGAAGAAGTTTGGAACCACCAGGACTCTTCATATAGCTGGATGTCTGTCTAAACTGAGAAACTGGTGGAGAAGGGCCTTGGTCAGATAGGTCTTAATGTTAGAGCTCCAGTATTCCTCTGTTGAGGGAGGAGAACCTTCCAGATGAACAGCCATCTCTACAGCAATCCACCAATCAGGCATGTATGGTAGCGTGGCCAGACAGAAGCCACTTCTTGACAAAAGACACATGGCAGCGCAACAGGAGGACTCTCAGACTATGATAAACTAAATTACCTTGTCTAAGACAAAGATTGAACTCTTTGTGTCGTGTCAAGTCTGGAGGAAACCAGGTATCACTCATCACCAGGCCAATACCATCCCTACCATGAAGCATGGTGGTGACAGCATCATGCTGTGGTGCTGCCATGTGCAGCCTGCCTCCACAGTCAGTAACACTTACCTCCTAGTGAAGTGGAAATGTCTCGTCAAATTTGCCGTCCACGATTTGCCATCACAATTTGTGCCATAAATGTGGAATATGAGGGAATCCTCAGTTGCCATGTTGGTAATGCTCAATGAAATAAGAAATTAAACTAACAGTTCAGGTGAGTCGTATAAATGCTTTAGCTTGCAGAGCTGTCTGCCGGGCTGGAATGAAGGTTGTGTACTTTCATAATAGCTTTGGGCCCTGGGCCCCAAGCAATAATGCGTTTGCGTCCCCCAGGTACTCATAACTTTCGT